GACTAGAGTTCCCGAAATATTGCAAAAGTCATCCTACCCTCAAACTAAAGTAATCATCCAATGAACGTTCCAATTGATTCATTTTACCAATCTTCCCTGGCTCGTAGTATATCGGTCTTCAAATCCTTGAGAAAGTCATCTCAACACGGTGGAAATCTCTTCCAGACGGTCAACGACAAGGTACGCCGCTTTTCTTTCTGTTTTAGGTCGGCGTTGAACTGATGAACGCCTCGTAAGGTATAAGGAACTTTCTCATCACTATTACCATCGAGATCGCCTCGGACGAGGTCACTGCGCGGAAAGAAAAGATCTACTTGAACAAGTTGAATTTGGCCATGGTGCAGGTACAGCTCTAGCCGAATTCTCCTCTCTTTGACTAAATACTCATTTCCAGGTCCTCGAACAAGAATGGCCACACAACTGGCCTACTTTCATCTCCGAACTCGTCGAATCCTCGTCGACCTCTCTCCCACTCTGCGAAAATAACATGGTCCTCCTCCGTCTCCTCTCCGAAGAGATCTTCGACTTCTCCGCCGACCAATTAACTCAAGCGAAAGCTAAAGAACTCAAGCTTCAGCTATCGAGCGAGCTCAGCATGGAGGTATTGAAAGAGGCATCAAAAGTGAGCTTGCTGAGGGCGACGCTGGAGACGTTAGGCAGATTTTTGAGTTGGATACCATTGGGTTATATCTTTGAAACGGAATCGTTACAGCTTTTTGTCGAACGGGTACGCAGAATTTTTTTCCTCTGCCCTTTCAAAGATTTTACCCTTGCATGCCAGTTTCTCGAATCGGCCGAATATCGCAATCTTACCCTCAAATGTGCCGCCGAGATTGCAAGCCTTCCTCAGTCAGACGTATCAATGTACGGTGCGAAGCTCAAGATGTTCTTCACGAGCGTTATGACAACTATCAACAAACTTATCCCACCAAGCACAGATATTGCATCTGCGTACGCAAACGCGTCGGATGCGGGGCAGGAAATGGTGGTCGCTCTGGCATTATTCTTGGCGAATTTCTTTTCGAAGCACTTGCCGATAATGGAGGGAGGTGAGTCGTTATAGCAATACACGCTAACCTGTCTTTGACTCCATGTGTAGATGTGGACCGTGAAGCGCTCATCAATGCTCACTTTTACCTCATCAAGATATCTCAAGTGGACGAGCGAGAAGTATTCAAGATCTGTCTTGAATACTGGCTGATACTCCTTGTCGGGTTGTACGACGAAGTGTCTATGATACCCCTCGGTACAGATCTCAGCAGGCTGAAACTGAGGAAAGACATATATAGGGAAGTCTTGTCAAATTTAAGGCTCGTGGCTGTGGGGAAGATGGTTAAACCTGAAGAGGTGGGTATGTCTGGCCTTCTTACACATTGATTTTCTCTACGATTTCGCCATCACATACTCACATACTATTTCTCTTCCTTATCCAGGTCTTAGTCGTCGAGAACGAGGAAGGCGAAGTCGTCCGCGAATACCTCAAAGAAACCATTGTCCTGTACAAATCAATGCGCGAGCTCATGGTTTTCCTTACTCACCTTGACGTCGTTGATGTCGAGATGATCCTAACGCAGAAGATGGCAGCACAAATTGACGGCAGTGAATGGAGTTGGGGAAACTTAAACACGTTATGTTGGGCTATTGGGAGTATATCAGGCGCGATGGGTGAGTATACAAAAATTTTATTTGTAGCTCTCTGTTGATGTTGTATCTTTGGCTCGAAATAGACGAAGACACCGAAAAACGGTTCTTGGTCCTCGTCACTCGCGAGCTCCTGGGACTCGTCGAGCAAAAGCGTGGTAAAGATAACAAGGCCATGATTGCTGCGAACATAATGTACATTGTCGGCCAATACCCTCGTTTCCTCAAAGCCCATTGGAGATTCTTGAGGACGGTAGTAAATAAGCTGTTTGAGTTCATGCATGAGACGCATGAAGGTACGTATCGTTCGCTCGGATTCCATTTGGGAACTGTATCTCTGTACCCAATTTCACTAATACACGGATGCTTTCAGGTGTTCAAGACATGGCCTGTGACACGTACATGAAAATCACTACAACCTGCGGGAGACAGTTTGTCGTTCGACAGCCGGATGAGAAAGAACCTTTTGTCGATGAGATTCTGCGGACGGTCAACAGGATCACAGTGAATTTATCTCCTCAACAAGTATGTATGTCTGTTATTTCTTAGTCATTCGTACGATAATTCACACTATTTTTCGCTATCGACTGTTGTCATAGATACCCACATTTTATGAAGCAACTGGAGTAATCATCGCTGAGGCGTTGAACAGAGCTCAGCAAGAGAGGCTGATAGCTAGTCTCATGGAATTACCGAATGGTGCTGTAAGTCATTCCTCTTCCTCTCTATGTTGAATGATGTCCCAATGTACTAGTGGGATACCCTGATGATGCAAGCCTCTCAAAGTGCTACCAACTCCGTCAATACACCTGTTCGTATACCTGGGCATCAACCCGGGCTATATTATCGTTTACTGTCCTTCCGCCCCGCGCAAGGACTGGTCGCAATGGGTGTTGAAAAATCTATTTTCTCATATATATGAGAATCCTCTGAAAAGTTTTCACCCCCAGGTATTTTCATGGTCATAAAACAGCTTACGTTTCTCATTTTTGATTACAGTTAGTGCCACAATGGAGGGACCCCGATGCGCTCATTGTGCGCATTAATGGAAATATTGTCCCTCTGGTGGTTTGGGATGAGACAGACGTGGCGATGATCTCGATTCAACTGGGTCAAAACCCACCATCTGTTGTATACATCCCGCATCAGACCAGGAGGAGCCACGATGATCGTCCACCCCTCGATATACACAAAATGTGGAGGCAGAAAGTGCGGAGATATGTAAAAATGGCATTGCAACTGCAACATTATCGTCAAGGTCTTACTACTTTTCAGGCGAAAATATTAGTGATATCTTCCTAAAACTTATATGTCCTTTATAACCATGAATTTTCATCACATTGCAGAATCCTTTTGTATACATATTTCTTCACCATATACCTTACTTTTTTTGTATTTGACCAAGGGGATTCGATGACTTTTTTCTTAGGGGGGTCACCCTCAGCCAATATAGTAGGGGATCAGGGTTACCACTCAATAATTGCAACAGCCCTTCCACACCTCAATCGGGACTTCTCTTGTGACTGGGGCAGCCACTGCAAGTATCTTTTCCCCCCCCACCAACTTAAAACAGGCATGATCTGATATTAGTGGTTTGGGAGTTTTTTGCCATTTTTTTCCAAAGATCCACACCCTGGGACTTTCCAACGAACTTGGCACCACATGACTGCAATTGGAATGACATGAAAGAGGGGTGGAGCAGAGCTCCACCCCTCCTTCACTGTACCATCCTGGTACGCACTAACGGCCTCCTGTGGCTTAGGGGTTGGCACAGCCACACGCTACCAGTATCGTGTGGCTGTGCTGGTTGGCACTGCCACATGCTACCAGTATTGTGTGGCTGTGTTGGTTGGCACTGGAATGGTTGCTTGACCTCCAAACAGTAAACTGGTCCAAATCTGGGTGGGTTCACCAGCTTAGGGGGTCAATACTACACTCCACCTCTTCATCACTGCAATTTCCTGAAGTCCTGCATGCCAACATTGGGGTTCACCTAACACTACCAGCCAGTACCAGTAGCATGTGGCTGTGTTCTTGGCACTGCCACACGCTACCAGTAGCGTGTGGCTGTGTTGTTTGGCACTAGAATTTTCATAGGCTGCCTGACCTCCAACAGTCAACTGGTCCAGATTTGTGGGCTTGAATCTTGTGGTTCTTTGAATCCTACTACTGTCTAAAGCACTAAAATCTTACTGGCAACAGTGATTCCACCTTCCACTTGTGAAGCCAATTATTGAGTCTGAAGCACACATTTTGACCTCACTAGTAAACTGTCCCATGTGTGTTTTGTGCTTCCTCCGTTTGTCCCAATTCTGCATTCCTCATATCATCATGTATGGGAAGCTCGGTTTCTATACTGATTGCTCAGTGAAAGCAACAAAAACCAATCTCCAACCTGCAACCCGCAATAAACTTTTTTATGTAGTTTTGACACTAGATTGGCACAAAATACACATAGCTAGGTAGACGTAACCCATTAGAGTATATCTAGTCCATTACTATGCATTGGGATGAGAAAGGCCCACATCTCATAATGACTCCAGCCATTAAGTGACTTTTAGTGGCATAACACTGCCACTTTCAGGAAGCCATTGAAATTCAAATACTCATAAGCTACTTGCACCCAACAACCAGAGCCTGTGTACTGAGACTGTCATTGCTCAAGTTACTCAATTTGGCTGAAAAGCGCCTAAGTCTCTCAATTTAGGTACGCAAGCACCTAAGTCTCTTAATTAGGCACTCTAGCTTCCCAATTAGGTATGCAAGCGCCCAGTCTTCTCAATTAGGCATTGTAGGTTCCCAATTAGGGATGTAAGCGCCCAGGCTTCTCAATTAGGCATTGTAGGTTCCCAATTAGGTATGCAAGCGCCCAGTCTTCTCAATTAGGCATTGTAGGTTCCCAATTAGGGATGTAAGCGCTCAAGCTTCATGTAAGTGTCCAAGGTTTCACCCTGGCTCTCACTTCGACTCTGGACTTTTCCTTTGACATCTGACAGAGGGAAGACACTGCAGTAGGATGAATATGTTTGTATATAGATATGTTTCAGAAAAATTGTGCTCACCAGTATCCGGGTCAGCCTTTGCACCACTAGTAGGAATCCCACCTGTCACAATGTTGCTATAGACTAAACCAGGTGCTCTCAATATTGAGCTGTAGTAAGTAATGTGACCACAATGTTCGACTCTGACTTCACTTCAACAATCCCTTTCTCAATAGCTCAGTAGTACAGTGAGTGGCATATTACCAATAGGCTAAGGTTCGAATCCCCATCGAGGCTTCAAGTGATTCCATTGTTGTCCAAATATCTCTGCTATCTATGAGACCTGATATTCCTTTCAGTTTTGACCTCAGTCAAATAGGTTCAATGGCTCAATGGTAAAGCATTTGATAAATAGTTTCTTGAAGGTCCATTCATATCATCAGAAGGCTGGGGTTCGAATCCATACTGAGAGTTTAGGTAGGTTTGTCATTGTCCAAATATTTTTGTCACTCACACACCTGCTCGCCCATTTTTGACACCCGGCCTTGATGTTCAAGCAGTCAAGCAGGATTAACTCAAAGCCCCAATAGCTCAGAGGTAGGGCATCTGTCAAATATACCCTGGTATTGCCTCGGTGAACCGTATATTTATTATCAGCAGGCCAGGGTTCGAATCCCCGTTGGGGTGCTGTATGTTTTTCCACCGGACTTGGTATCAATGGGAGTATTCCCACACTTTCTTGAGTGCTCTTCCATAATTACTACAACGACACGTTCCTGTGAGCACAATACACAGAGTGAGGACCAAAATTATTACCTCTGATTGGCAATGCTAACATCTCCTCAGTAGCTTAGTGGTAGAGCGTTTGGTTAATGCCCCAAAGGGCAATGTTAAATAATCAAGAGACTAGGGTTCGAATCCCCAGTGAGGTTTGATGATACTACTGCATTTCGAGTCATCTTATTATCCCAGGCACCTGATCTTGCAGTTTTGGTTAGACTTTGTGGTAGTCAAGTAGCTCCAGTAATAATCTATCAATAGGCTCAAATGGTAGAGTATTTGGTGAATATCGCAAATATGAATGGTAAGTAGCAATCCACATGCTAGGTCTCCCCTCAAAGTCTCAAACCTGCGATTGTAAGCCACTGCACCACCCTGCATGGCAAAATCTCGGCTCCTCCCATGAGTGTTATTAAATATTATGGAATTGAAAAAACTAAATAAAAGTTAATTTACATAACAGGGTGTAACTGAGTGAGACGAGAAAAAATAATCGTGACAAAGGATCACAGTCCCGTGATATCCCGTGCCGGTCACAAGAAATCAATACAATTCACCTCAGTGTTACATTTGGCCAAATAAGGTGAAACTACTACCATAAAGGGAAATTAAAATTGTATGGAGTGGTGTATATAAGGACAATACTTCCGTAAACTGCAGCCTCGTAACCTGGCCTGCTTCAAAAACATCCTTCCCATAATGTGGACGTGCATTGACCTTCTGATCATCAGTAATGGACGCAATGTATTCCCTGGTGCTCAGGTGAGTTAAGTAGATTTGCACCAGTATAGTGAAACTTGGATGAAGCAGGTTTCGGGTTAATTGAGGTTCCTGGGAAAGCAACACCTGGTAGTGTGCGTTACAAGGGAAAGGACATAATGTACCACAGCTGGAAGGAAGCGAGCAACCAACTGACATCCCAAGAAATACGTATATTACTTGTTCGGCTCATCACGGAATTCAGCCTACATATATACAGGAAAATGTGATATGATCTACAGGTATTCATCAATAATGTAAACCTCGAAATATTACTACCACCCTGTATCATCTCGTTTCCATTTAATCTTGCCAACATTGAAACTTCAGAGGTGTACCTGCAATTGCCATCTGTAATAGATCAATAGCAGGCAATGACAGTTAAGAGAAACTCAGCTGGTGAACAACAATTCCAAACCAATACCTCTCCTGACCAAGCATGGCACCAAACCAACAAGCCCCTCCCACCCCAGAAGCCACAGACAGGCAGCACAACTAAACTACAGAACGCATGAAAGCATACACGAATAAAGCAATAAGTAATACAACTAGACTATAAAAAGTATCAACGTATATACAAAGAAACCAAAAAAACAATACAATTAGAACCTGTCGCAATCATCAGCAAAAACCATACAATCAGTAGAAAACACACCTACCCGGGAGGTGCAGGTCCAGGACTGTGTACAAAGGCCACGAGCGTAACTAAACTACATATAATATATATAGTACTACAAATACAAGACATCAGAAACCAAAAAACGGTGCGATTAAAACCTATGACAATCGTTAGCTTAGCGGACAGAGCCCATCGGAAAAATACACACATACCATCTAAGCTACAGCAGCATTCGCGAGGATTGGGGAGATTATCGTCGGCCAGACCTGTCCTGGGTTCCCAGTGAAAACGAAAAACTCTACGTGTTGCCGTCCACCTTATGAAGGTGGAACGTTAGCAAATCCATCGGAATATGCGAAACACTTACAATTATTGCACCAAACTCGCGGTCGATCTAGGCAGCTGTTCTCCAGCGCCAGATGCGCGAGCGATTCTACAATACCGATGGGTTTGTGTCGAAACCCAAAACCTCAGACTTACCGGCCCTCCTCCTCGTCATCGTCGGGACTGGTGCCATCCAGATTCTCCCCGGAAATGGACACTGGTTGTCCCACTCTGCCCTCCTACGATCGAAATCCTTCGTCATACCAATTTTCCACAACACACCCCCGTCCACGAACGCGTAGAGAAAGCCTGGACCATCAGCAGGCGAGATCACTCGGGCCAGGCGCGATAAGAGGAGGCGCAATAGGCGGTGAAAAGCACGTCGGGCCATCGAGTGAGATTGTTGGTGAAGGTAGATGGGGGAGAAGGTCGCGAGTCGGGTGTGAAGACGAGATTAGTGGTCAGAAAGGCTGGGTGGCCGTGGACTCGGTGTCAAGAGGGCTGAAGGAACCTACAGCGTCGAATGGAAGGATAGAAACGGGCCGGACGTTGCAAGAAGATCTGCCGGCGCTAAAATGACGTACTCAGGTCGGACGTTCGGGATGAAACGGACGTTGACGCGGCTCTCAAAACAGCACGCCCCTCGTTTGATGTCCACACGCTCCTCCAGCTGAGTATGGATGGTTAGTAGTTTTTCAGGCACCCATTTACCCCAAACTAAGGCAATACCCAAGCACAGACGACTCAAGCAATACCTTTTTAAGCCAAACCTATGCCATCCGTCCTCTTTCCAGACAGTCCTCTTCACATTCACCTCCCAATCTTCAGGTGTAAGATTGCTGAGCATGGTGCCGGGGAGTCAGACACACGGCGCAGGCTGGGATGCCCAACGTTGAACATTAACTTGCACAATATTCCACGAGAATGTTGTCCTTGAGCCGCACAGTTAGAATACCAGTTGTTCTTGACCTGTTCAAATCGTTCGAATCATGAACATCCATCTGCGAGAGATCTTGCATGAGGTTGAAGCCAAGTGTTGAGATTTCCCCCAGTAGTGCAACAAAATATCATATATTCACATGGAAGAAAGAAGCAAAGAAAGTTTCAACTTAAGCGCTCATTCCACTCCCACATGTCAACTACAGCACTGCCACATTGTGAGTTCACAGTGTGGCAGTGCATGGGCGTTAAACCTCTGAGCTCAGAGGAATGATGTCATTATTTATGGGCGTTAAACCTCTGAGGCCAGAGGTATGATGTCATACCTGTTCACATAACTTCTATGACGTAGTCCCTGCATACTTCTCAGAACTATTAATATCCTTATCAGGCTCTGTTATGGGTCTTGGATGCTCGCAGTCCACCTGAGAGATTGTCTACTCATTTTGGCCATAATCATATCCCACAGCTATACTACATTGGCTGTAGTGTAACAAACTAAGTCTCAGGTTCCAGGCATTCCCTAAAAGCAATTGCTGGTCATGGATTCAATACGAACGGCTACACCATAAGCATTCCATAGCAGCTTCGTAGCACAACAAGATTCTGTGTGACCAGATTGTCGTGACTGTGAATGGGTCCTCAATGAGACATATAACCAGCTGTGCCTACAGTAAATGAGCACCGTGGACACTTTCACAATAAGCCCCAGTGAGGGGGAACATTGTTTAGAAACCAAGCACGGTTTTCCTTAGGATTCTCAGAGTGGCGAGTCTTCATTAGTGTAGCATGAAGTCCGTAAAACCCTTCCCATGCCTCACTTAAGCCCATATCATTGAATATCAACATTAGCTTGTTGCACATCCTCCCAGGTGCATATCGTAATATCTCACCTAAGAATATTCCAGATAACCCCTATGAATTGCACCGGGAAATAGTTTGCCAATTGACCTAACCACCAAAAACTGGAAACAGAAAAAAACCGTGAATATTTTTCAATAAATCCCTATCTCTATTTAGTTCAATCCAGTATTGGTACCAACATGACATGTACCCATCCGTCACTTCTTGTGCCTCAAGTTGTTCATTATGACCGTACAACACAGGTAGGTTTGCATAGCAACTGACCCGAACATTGTCACTCAATATACCAAACTATCACATTTTCCATTGAGGAGTTCATCATCACTAGGCAATACAGGACGAGTGCAGTAACAATACAAATTATTTCCCTGTTGGCGAGACTTGCACAAGTTGTGGTTGTCTCGCCACTCACACATATGGGTTGTTCCTGGGCATTCCAGGCAGACCATACCCCAGCGGATTAGCACCCCCAATGGGAACCCCCGGCTTTTTTGCAAGATGCAACTTGATCTGAACCCCTGGATTCACCCTTTGGTAATCATTCATTGCCTTTTCGGCTGCAGCATTTACCTGAGAAGTCTTGTTCAATATCACCTATCGTTGTTGCATTCAAGAACTTACCTCTTCAGTGTGGCGATTTTCAAGAAGTTCCCATAGGGGACATTTTTGAGTGGAGGAGCTGGACTGTGGACCTCCAGGAATGGTACACTGTTAAAGAGTGAATATACAACCCAGAATAAAAAAACGAGACAACAGACATTGAAGTGATCATAACTGGTCACTTGTTTTCGGCAAACATAACACGACATTGTGCGGCAAGAGGGACAAGTCATCTTATTACACTGGGGGAAAACGATCAACGTTATGATAGCGACACTCTCATTCTGAGTTCTTACCCCCTCGTCCTTCACGAAAGCTGTCAGAACCCGGCGGTCATAATCTCACTGGGCGGTTCACAGAAGAGAAAATTTCCTCACCTTTATTACAGCGAGGACAGTTTCTCATTAGTGCACGAGCTATAATCATCATCAGGTAAATTGAAGAATAGAATGGTGGCAGACTTGCTCATTGCCTCCTCAATCACATGGTGACATTCAAGCATGTTCTCTTTCTCCAACTCTGTAGAGAAGAAGGTCAGTACACCCAATATAGGAACGGGGAAAGGGTACACCACCTTTACAGCTTTTAGGGCGATGATCCTAGAAAGCATGATTAGACAGGGAGGGGTATTCGAGAGGAATCAATCTGATTTACCATCTTTTTACATTGTCAACAAGTGACAGCCCCACAGGCTTTTATATTACCACAGCGGAAGAGACTCCCGTGAGCGCCTTCAATGATGCACTTGAAATCGCAGAAAGGGCACTCTTCGAGCCCTTCCAAACCGGCCATTTCAATCTCGTTCCGCTGCCTAACACGCTCATACAGCTTGAGGAGATTATTAGGAAGAACCTTTTGAAGAACTGAGACTGGGAACGCAAGATTACAGCCCGACTGATCGATGCAGTTGATATTGACGTTATGGACACTAAGCAAAGTTTCTGCGTAAGATTTCATACATCCCGAGCAGAAGAGATGCGCTTCCGGGCATTGCACCATTTTGTCCTAAGTAAAGGTCAGGACTAGAGTCAGTAAAATGAAAAGGAT